CTTTAAAGTATCTGTTTTCCATACATACTTGGGGGCTATGAACTGGGAGGCTTAAATGGAAATAAAAATTAACACATTGACAGAGGGCCTTCATTCAAGTCATGGAGAGGAACAGAAGCAGACATTTTGAGGAGACAATGCCTACTGCTCCGTGCCATCTTGAAAACGCTCACAAACTATACTAATTCTGTTCCTTGTTTGCTCACACATTTGATTTCAGCAGATGTGACAACAATCTAAACCAAGCTTGTATTTGGATCATGCATGACTTCACTGAGCTGATTTTAACACTTGATGGAGCGTAATAGATAGGTATTCATGCTGGGATCCGTTCTGCGGAGTTGCTCCCCCTCAGCTCAGCAATTCGCATCATGGGTTTGCAGGATCCTGTCCATCAGAAGCCAAGTGGGTCTCTGGTGGCAGCTTTTCTGATTCTGACCATGGCTGTCAAATGAGGACGTTCAATGGGTGCACTTGCAGAGCTGTGAACTAAGCTGAGGCAGAGCCCAGGCACTACTGCTCGCTACACCCTAATGGTTCTCACTTGCATTACAACGCACTGTCAGCAAATGCCCGGGAAGGAGGAAGCCAGTTTCTCCCCACACCCAGCAATAGCAGTCACTGCCACGTGCCCCAGACGCGTCACTTGGTACAGGCTGGCCGGGCGCCTGCCAGGTGACGCATTGCGCTTCACCTTTCTGGTAACCTCACTTCCTGTTCTGTTCCTGCATGGACAATTTTCTCCCTCTTTTAACAAAATAACATGATTTGTCTTTCTAACATAGGGAGATAAAAAGAAGACTGACTGCTCAACAAAAAGAAATCAGGGGAGATAGATGAAGGAGAAAGGGCCAGGCAGACAAAAGTAGGCCTGGGATTTAAAGTTAGTGAAAGACAAGCTATATGCTTACCTTTTGGCTCTACTGAAGTTGCAATGAAAAAAAGCAAAGGCAGCATTCTCTCAGACTCACCAGCAGCTGCTAATCAACTGCACAACCTCTGGCAAGTAGATTCATTGCTTTTGGCTTTTTCCTTTCCCATCTTTCAGCTGCATGTTAGTTCAGATTAAAAGCCTGGGGAGAAGAGGGATTTCCTTGCTTTTGGATTTACAGAGCACCTAATAAATGGGGCTATAAAATTTCTTAAATGCACACAATACACAATTGAAATAACATTTCACAGTGATCATTAACCACTTGTATGCTTCTTGCTCTCTTACTCTGAGAGAGAGATGTGAGGGGCAGGAACCAGAGCTATGGTACCACATCTAAAAATGCGTGCTGATATTTCTAGACATCTGCTTTCAGCACAACTTTATCGAGAGAGACTACCAGGTTGCACTGAGAAGTAGCTTTGGGATCTCCTGGAGAATTTGAGAACCACAGATTAATAAGCAAAACAACAGCATTTTAAAAATAAGCCAGTTTTTTATATATATATAAATGCCTGTCTTCTTGTTTGTTTTTGGCCCTTGACTCACTAAAATTGGTAGCAACTCTTCAACAGATGTGTAATGTAAATAAGTAGAACTGCAGAAATAAATTTTCAAGACAATTGGAAATTGGAAAATGAATATTTATGCAAATTAGTGTGATGAGAAAAGAAATGAAGCACAGTCAAGTTCCCTGTAAACACAACTGAAGATTCATCCTCTGGGGCCCCTAAAATAAGAAAATTAACCCATCCATGGATCTTTAGCAAATAGACAACCCTCATCCTCCTCGAAGCTCACAGTCTACATGCAGAGAAACCTTTCAAAATGTCATCAAGGTTCATTTTGTGAATGGGATTATTCTGGAGGGAATTTTGTGTCTGTTTGTATCCTTTTATCCATGTGCTCTAGGTGTCCCTGTGCTTACCTGAAATGTCAGTAATGATTTCAAGCTTTGACAGAGCGGAATGAAAATTATTTTGTCGTGGTTGTTCTTAAAAACACTTTGAAATTTTCTTTGCATAGATTTGTTAGGGGCAGAGTAGGCTTACTTAATACCACTGTAAATTTTCAGAAATAGATTAAACATCAGCAGTTAAAGTGGAATGAAGTTCAATTTTGCTTAACGTTTACTGATAGAATGAGGAAATAACCGCTGTTTAAAAGAAAAGGAATACATTTTTACATGATGGTTAAATCAATTTCTCATTGAAATTAAAAGAATGACTGCTTCATGTGCAAGAGGAATAATTTCTTTTCCTGCCTTTCCTTGCCTTACAAATACTTCTGTTTAGAATCCTATAACCATCCACAAAGACATACAGTCATTCACCAGACAAACTGGAGAAATTGTTATTCTTTTGAGACCTCTAGGACAAACCTGATCGAAGAAGCATCAACACGCAGAAACCCAAGTGCAAAATTCCTTTTCTTCCCAAATATAATTAGAACAGTTCATTTTCACAATGAAGATGAAGGCAAGCAACGATGGCAGTTTAATCATTGTACAGAACTGTCATCTACCAAGCATGTAGCATATTACTCAAATCATGTATTTACATATGCATGATGTAAGACTCCATTAACAGCATCAGTAGCTCCAGTGCAGACAGGACCTAAACAGGACAGTCTAGTCAGGACAATGGCAAGAAGTGCACTAGGATCTTTTAAAGTAATACACCTTGTGGAAAAATGCAACTCTTGTTATCAACAGAAATATTATTAAAAAAAAAGTCTTCAAAAATTTTGGGAACCAGTATGTAGGAACATAGATATCAAGAGCTTTAATAGCCCATAGCTTTTCTAGAGACAACTCAGGAGCTTTATTTGTGCATATATAACGTTTGCTTTGTCTTAGGAAAGCAGAAACACTATGGGGATACACCACTTTCCCCCACAGGACATATGCTTACTAGCTGCTTCATAATAGTACTTCTACAGAAAATATACAATTCGTCAGAAATAAGGCAAATACAATGGAATAGGAAAAACAGATTAGAAACAATTCTTGAAGTGCAACAGGTTTAAATTTCTACCACTGGGCTTACATGCAGTGGACACAAATTTTATTGCTTACAATATCACGTAAGGAAACTTAGGCTGAAGCTTTTACTTAAGATGTCTGTGTAAATATCCAGTAATTTGCATGACCCATTTTACCCTGTCAGCTTCCCGATAATTCCATTCAGAAGGGAGGATGTTCAGCCAGAATAGTCAGCAAGTTTTAGTGCATTCAAATAGCTTTTTTTTTATCATGTTGGCTTTAAGTCATAGGCTGGTGCCTCTTTTGTGAGCTACATTCCCATTTACATGAATATAGCTTCAGAAAGTTATTTCCTCTTCTTTTCCTTTGTGTTCATAAACAATATCTTGACTTCCCGGCAGATTTAGTAACCTTGGCTTTTATAACCAAATACCTTTCATCTACTGCTTTTTTTTTTTCTTTTGCAGCTCAAGGACTAGCAGGATTTCAGTTGAGCTCACACTGCACTTGGTATTTTATGTTACCTGAAGAAAGGTAGAAAATTAGTAATACTTTACGTCCAGCAATGAAGTGTTGAGAGAGACAGTTTTCTGTCCACTCCCAGTGCTAGGGATGAAAGAATGAAAATCAGCTAAGGCATAGGGAGCTTATGCAGCCAGTTTCCTGGCATCTTGAATGTAAACTACTAACATTTTCTTCCAAGCACAATCCTTATGGGTAAGACCAAGTTGCTTTCCTTCCCTTTTGTTTCCTACATACTTCCACCAAGCAATGTGGATGTTCTCCATAACAGGTTTAACAAGTCAGCATAATAGCTCAATTCCAACCAGCACTTCTGGCTGGCAGTTATTAAGTAGCCACTGAAGGAGGCTCTTCCTTTAGAAAAAAAAATGTATGCAAGGAGATTCAAGTTGAAAGAATTCATCTGTAATCAGCACATGGACACACAGTTCATTAAGTTTAATTAATGAATTAATTTAACTTAAAACTTAAGCAGTTAAGTTTTAGCCATTCTGTATTTCTGAATTCAGCTTTCCCCTTCCCCCCCCCCCCCCCCCCTCCGAGAAGGAGAAACTGCTACCTTAAAACTTACTTCATCCACAATAGGGAAATTCTGCTTCCATAACTTTAGGTGTTCCCTTGAGTATATGACTGGCAGACTCAGAAAAGATAATTGTACATAAAAACTTTTGGCTTTGTCGAACCTGAACCTACACTAGCTCCCTTCCACTTTAGCTAAAGTACAAAAATGTGAGTCAACACATTAAATACAAGGTAAGCCTTCCCCCAGTAGGTGTTTATGTCAGTTCCACTGAGTACAGGAACTATAGGTAGAGGTACCCCCAAAGACATCTAATCAGCAGTATAGAACAGCTAGTAGCAATGTTTCAGTATCAGAGATCTACATAGGACAGTTCTCTCAGGTTATAGTACAAGTCACTGAAGTGCAGTCAGGAATCAAGAACATCTAGGGAGTAAGCAGGAGAAGCTAATTAGGGCATAACTAGTTTCTACAGGAAGAATCCTTCCCCCCACTCCTTCTTTCCCTAACTAGAGCAGGGGCAGAAGGGGAAATAGTAAACTTGCCACAACCTATCATCTAGCTTTCTCACTGAATTCTTGCTTTGGATCTTCTTGGTTTGCCCTATCATGATCACAAGGAGACCAAGCTGTAATAAGCTATTATGAGGTAGGATGAGGAAAGTCTGGGGTCAGAATTCTGGATAAGAAATAATCAGAGGCTGAACATAGGGCATAAAAATACTTTGTTATAAAAGATAGAGCCGTATTATTGCCTCTGGGTCAATGGGACAGAGCCAACATTCTCTTATAACAATATTCCAGATTAACAAGAAGTTTCAAAGAATGAGCATCCAATTTCAGTCATCTCTGCTTTTTCCAGTGAAGACATTTTTCTTCTTTCCCTTAAAGCTGTATCAAATACTACACTCCAGTTTATAAAAGCTGTTCATCATTCTCAAGCTGCATTTATGTAATTGATACAACAGACTTTCATTAGCAGTCCTGTGCAGGATACCTAAATGGTGAGCTCCATGTAGAAAGAAAGATCAAAAGCCAGTCATCTGTACACACTAAATTAAGTGTTTATTTAAAAAGTAAACCTTTGGGCCTATTTCTAATTAAAAAAGGAAAAAATACATAGAAGAATCTATTAGATTAAGCAGTTAAAAGCCAGCAATATTACAAGCTGTTTACATACCAACATTTACATTAATTTAAAATAAGTGGCATGTCACCAACATGTAAAACAGACTTCGAGAGTCTTAAAAAAAAAAAAATCAAGTTGACTTTTGAAGAATACAAGTCTACCACCTGTGTGACTGTTTGGTCATTCAGTTTGTTATCCCCTTTTGCACTGAAATGTCCAGTCTTCAAATTATACAAGTGGATAACTAGCAGCTGTTGCGATTCCACAGTGGTTCTTCCTGTCTTTGGCCATGTAGATATATCCTTTGTCACCCCACTTCTCACCCCAGCTGTAATCAGAAATAAAACGTTTATTTTCATACTCCATAAGACTTCCTTACTATTCTTTCATGAAGTGTTTGAACTGAGAACTGCCTTCCATATTCACAGGAAATTTTAAACAGATGTACATAGCAGGACAAAAAAAAAAAAAAAAAAAAAAAGAAAAGGTAGTGCAGCTGTACATGGAGGTGCCTGCCTCACACGAGAACAATTTTGGACTACTGGAGCTCAGGCAATGCTCCCAGCCAATTTTAACAGAGGACACAAGACTGCAGGCAGCATGAGGGTGGTGTCCCATTAGTGCTGATAGCATGAGACTAACTCATGTGATATGCCCTTTGGCATTCTTTTTTTTCCTCCCAGGCCAGCAGGGTAACTACATTCTGAAAATTCAAATGTTATTTCATACAGTGAATAGCCCCACTGCTTCTGAAAATTCATGGTCCCCCATTGCCACAACCTGTTTTTCCTTCTGCTCTCCTATGCACTATCACTTCAGTGCATCTATTCTTCTCATGGGCTAATCTTCTACCAAGCTTCCTTGATCCCTTAAATCAGCTGAAAAATGCAGAGGAATGCAGTTGCTGCTCAAAGCCTACCTTAGCAGGTCAGCATCCTAAGCTGACTTTTAACTTCTACCCAGTACCCCACGAACAGTCTCCAAATTTTCCGTATGTAGATTTTAATTTCTGTTGCCTCTTCATATCTCCCTATGCCAAAAGACAAACTACTCTCCCTCCTCCCACAAAGAGTATGACACATAGAAAAGTTTTACCTGTTCTTAACAATCCAGTATTTCTTTCCATCTACATCTTCACCTTCAAAACCATAACCTACAACCAGAACACCATGGTCCAAGTCTTCACTGCTACAGTCTGGTTCATAGTAGATACCTGAGGAAGCATAAAATTGCACATGAACAAACTGATCTACTAGAATCCTTGTGTTCAAAATTGTGTTGATTAGCTAGAGAAGATGTGCAGTGAGGGAAGCGAAATGCATCTCTGGGAGAAAGTAAGCAGCAAGCATAAGCATATACAGAGTGTGGGAATCTGGACTAGAATTAAGAGGACTTATATGTCCTACTTCACAAACTCAGACTTTTTTGCTCTTAAACTGGAGAGTGAGTGATTACTGAGTATCCAAGAAGTTCCTCAGGCAAGTTACTAACAAATCCCCACCTGACTGATAAAACTGGAATGAAGAGTGTCCAGCATCAATAGCAACAGATACTGGACCCACAGCTGCTACTGCTTTCATGAGAGCTCTTTCATGTCCTTGAGGGATGTCAACAAAGCCAGTATCATTAGCAGCATTGTACTCTGCCTTGTAGCGACAGTCTTCATCATCCTGAATTAAAAGAAATAAGAAAACTACTAGTTACTACGTAGTTCTCTACTTTACACACGAGTGAGCATAAGAACTACCAGACATACTATAAGTTCACTGCATTGAAAGCAAGACACTGAGAAGGACCCAGTTGCGTCTGGTCTTCTTTCAAAGCATTCCCAAAACTAAAGAAACTGCTTTTGAGTTATTTAGAGACACAGAAAAAGGGAAAAAAAAACAGGGTTGAGAAGCCCACAGTGAAAGGTTTACTGGGATGCAGAAGACCTTCACATCTAGGAACACTGCAGTCTCTAGCAGGGAAGATGAATTTCATTTCTGAGAAAACAATGTCCAGAATGCATTAATAGGCAAAGAAAGAGAGACAAGTATTCATTAATTACAAAGCAGTTCAGGAACTGCTAATTGAGCAAGCACTTAAATCCACAGTCTGTCAGTCTGGAAAACCATGAAGAATGACTTAGAAATGACTCATTTTTAATGTATGAGTTTACAGTATTCCTGTATTTTGGGCTTTTTTTTCTTCACACAGTGAAATCTGAACTGTGTCACAGGCATTTGTTTCAGGAAAGGGGTCAAGTTGGGACATCTAGCAATTTGATATAAAAAAGTACGCATGTCCCTGCTTCATCTGTGTGATGAAACTAGAACTTCAGTTGCCTTTCCAACTAAAAGAACATGGGCCACATGCCTCAGTTGTTTACTTCTCATAATCAGCAAGTTTGTACTTCCTATAAACAACCAGAATTGCTGGAAGAGCCAAGTTTAAAAAAAAAATTATAGGATACAGGCAGATAGGAACCCAAATCCTTCAAAGTTATTCACAGTGAATGTCACTGCTACTGCACATTCAGTCAACAGAAGACAAACTGCAAGGAAATTCTCTAGAGAGCAGCAGCACTGAAAGTAGTAAAAGCCCAAACATTAAGACTAATGCAACACCACCATTTATTACCACCCTTTTGTCCTCTCATGCCCGTTTAACTTTTGATAGATTTTTAGAGGTATTCTAGAAATCTGCTCATTACCTGCATTTATGCAGATTCAGCCCAAAAGCAGAATAAGACATAGTCAGATCTAAGAAAATCCACATTTGCTGCAAGAGTTATTTGGTCTGTGGGAAACAACCTATAATAGTTCAGTTATGAAAAGCACAAATGAAACCTTAGGACTAAGTAGCAGTTTGACAAGAACCAAGTCTTGGTTTGGTGTGTCATCAAACACAAGGTCTGGCATCTGATAGGGGGAAGCAATAACAAGATTTGCTCTAGTTTTTCCAGATGGTCTGGAAAGAGTTGATAATCTTTAAGGTCTTTTCCTACCTGAGCAATTCTATGATTCTATGATTTTGATCCCCTAAGATCAGTGCAGTATGCAACTGCTACAGAACCTGGGGCAAGCAGCCATTCTAGACTTCTTTAGAAGAATACAAGAGGAAAAGCAGATGTACTGATGGCTATTTAGCCTTCATCCTCTCCAGGTATTTGTTTCCCCACACTTACAGTTTATACAAAAGATGCTGTATCTGCAGCACGTTCAGCTATGACATTTACCTTTGCAGTGTATGGGTAGGATTCCTCTGAATCAATTCCCCCATTATCTTGTACGTACTGGAAAGCCTGGTCCATGAGACCACCATTGCAGCCTTGATTTCCTTCTGGTCGGGAGCAGTCCACAAGATTCTGTTCACTGAGTGAAACAAGTTTTCCAGTTTTTCTGAAGTGTTGGCCTTCAAGAGCTCCTGTTGTGCTGAAAGCCCAGCAAGAGCCACACTGACCCTGAAAATAAGAAGCAAAATCACAAATGGCTACGTTGGACATATTAAGCAATTACAGTTCCCATGCCATTGATGTAAGCATTAGAAAAGCAAAAGCCTCAAGACCAACTTCATTGTCATGATTCTACTATGCTCAAGTAGAGACACTATTTTAGTTTTATGACATTTAGCACAGAAGGACTCCTTGATAATTCTACTGAGGTACAGAATTTTACTAAAATGGAACTTAATTCAGCATGCTTGCACTAGGGTTCATCAAACAACTCAACAGCATCTCTCCTCTGTGAACATGGAGGCAGCATTCAGGAAACTAGTTAAAAATCCAACAACACAGAATACCTGATCTTTAACTGGAGTTACATATCCCTTCTCTCTCCAATCTACAGATCGTGGTGCTTCAAGGAAACTGGGCTCAAGAAACTGGGATCCTCTGTACTTCCTTTCTGACTTCTTGTGTATATAGCCATTCATCAGCTGTCTGAACTCCTCCGTCGTCTAAAGAAAATTGAAGACGTGAAGTCACCACCTACTATACTACACACGGCTGTTTAGAAACAAATGTTTTATGCTTATGTACATACCATGTCACCAAACTGATTCATCCCCAACTTATAACTGTGTTTTCCCAATGAGTGATCCAGGTTATGCAGTTCAATCATTTTCAGATTCTTTTCCCATACCACTCTCCTCCAGCTTTCCTCTCTCTGAGAAGCCAGAAAAGCAATAATTCAGTGAGAAAGTCCAAAATCTCACTCAAGTGATAGCATGCTTTGTTATAATTTGTATACACAGGCAAATATGAACGCCTCTAAAAAAAAAAAAGCTTCCATAAATGGTCATTTTGCCACTGTTATATGAAAAGCATAACTGAGCAGTCACATGAACAAAGCAAAAGGATTCAGGAAAAGAGAGGTTTAATTCAACAAATACATATCACGGGCAGCTTTAAAACAAAGCAGTCATGACTCAGCTAATGGGGCCCAGCCGAGCACGGTTTGCATTTGCTGAGCTGAACACACATCCCAGGGGCCACCCAACAGGCACTCACCTCATGATAATCTTTACTGTGCCAGGACTTCCACAGCTGCCAGTGGCTGTCCAAATCGGGATCTAGTCTCGGTGCAGCAAAGGCCAGCCCCAAGCACAGGGACAGGATGGTCAGACACACGTTCATGTTGACGAATCTGCCGGAAATTGAGCAACGCCCATTGGGCAAAACAATACGCACTCAAGCCCTGTTTGCCTCACAGCCACGTTGAAATACCCGGCTTGAAACAAATCCGTTCACAGCAGAAGACTCGGTTCCCCTCTTCCTTTACAAGAGCAAACAAACAAGATGGGCACAGATCCCGAAGAAAGCTCTCGGACCGGAGAAGAAAGCACTCCGCTCCTCCCCCAACCCCCTACTCGAGCTTCGAATCCCAACCCTCACCACCCCGGCCCCCCCGGGCCGAGCGGACTGCCAGGCTGCAGTCACCCTCCTCGCGGTCATGGTCGGCTCTCGAGGCCATCTTGCCCCTCCGCCCCACCACGCCAGGCCTCGGAGCCCTCAGCTGCGGCCGTAAACAAGGGCGGGCGGAGCGGCCCAAAACGGGGGCCAGCGGCAGGGCAGCTTAGCAGGAGCCTCGCCAGGAACGGCGGCCCCATTCCTACGTGCCAGCAGCGCCTGCAGCGGCGGGGGCCCGCGGAACCCCGGCAGCGCCTGCAACGTCTTCACGTAGCTCACCTCGATCGACACCGGAGCAACAAACAAAAACCACGGCGCGGCTCAGCCGGCGGCGGCACCGCTGCCCCTTCTTTTTATTGCCACTATGGCCGAGCCCGCCCCACCGCGCCGATTGGCGGCAGCGCCAGGACTTGCCCCGCCCTCCCGCCCGCTCGGGACGGGGCCGCGCCTGAGGTGGAGGTTTGCGCTGTGGGTCTCCGAGTGCCGCCGTCGGCTGCGGTCAGGCGGGGTCGGGCCGCGGCGGTGCGTGAGGAGCTCACCGAAGCGGTCTGACGGCCGCCCGGGCACCGAAGGGTGGCTGCCCGTCTCGGTGGCAATTGCTTGCCCTGGGGGCCCCGCAGTGCCCCGGCTGTTATTTTAGGCGGTGTTTGTGTTGCGATGCGGAGGGGCAGGCAAGCGAGAGAGAGGGGTGGAGTATTTAAGCTGTTGGGAGTTCAGTATAAAACTCATAATTGATAGAGCGTAAGGCAACAAATCTGGAAGGAAAGGAAGAAAGGCCTGTTGTTTGAAACCGCAGAAACACAAGAGCGGCCCCAGTGATGGCTCTTGATCAGATCGAGCCGATGGGCAGCCTGGGAGCCTTGCGTGTTGTCCCTTTGAAACTCAGAGGCCTACTGGGGCACAAACCAGGGTGTGTGACTTCACTGGTTCTTTCCTTCTGCTCTGTTTCTTTCCAGACAGGTGCCGGCCTTGCTGCAGCCAGTTCCAGCCTGGGAGCACTGCTGCTGCTTGCTGGAGGCTTCTGTACATTTGCTGCAGAGCACAGTTTTGTTCCTGATCTGATGCCAGGCACATGTGAGGGGCATCTCGCTCACGTCCAGGTGTGCTGCAGCACTTGCAGTTACACTAGTATGAGAAGTACTTCAAAGAAAGTCCTTTTCCCCCACCCCCCACAATTTAATATGTGAAAACTGTTTTTTTCTTGCCTCTGGACCTGATATAGTAAGAATCAGGTGTCTCACCACGTTATGGCTAGTGGTCATAGAGATATCACCTAGTAGTGTCTCCTGAAAAGCAGAGAAAAACACTGAGAGTTGGAGCACAAGTGAGATATTAAACCATTTGTGTGTGGACTTAGTGTGGGAACAGACAGGCTTTGTTTTTTAACAGGGTGTTTGCCTGTAGAAGTAAAATAACTGTAGGAGCTATATGAGGCTCCTCTGTAAATTATTGTAAAGACAGCATTTCCCTTGTAAAGATTGCTTTCCCTTACAAACATGGAGTAAAATGCAGAGCTTGTGAACTGTTGCACAACAGAGAAAAGGCAGAAATCACATGATAGATGTTTCTCCCTTTTTTGATGTCTTAAGACACAAAATGTGTCACAACACACAAGGACAAACAAAATGTGTTTCCTTAACCAGATTTTCATTGGAACAGCTTTTGGCCTGAGGAAGGCCCGCAGAGCCAACACACAATGAGACGCTGAAGAGGTTGTCATGTCTTTTCAAAGTTCTCATTGCACACACACACGCACACACACAGAGAGAGAGAGAGAGAGAGAGAGGGAGGGAGACATGAAGTGTAAATACACCAACAATAATAAACTTGCCTTGCAAAACCTGTGAGAAAACAAGACATTTTAAAGCTGAGCTGCTTACTTAAGTCAAAGGCTGTATACAAACGCTCAGGGCTGTCAGGATGGTTTTATGCATGCAGGCATGCCACTTTGAGCAGGAAAACATGAGGTCTTTGTGAAAGAAACATTGAAAGAATTTCCTCAGAGTTGGAATGCAGCAAATACATACTGGAGGCATCATGATTTTTAGTAATTACTTGCTCATCATTTCTAATATTTGCTTTGCAAGGATGTGTTATCAAATTTCAAAAGATCTCTATGACGGTTCTGAAAGTTTATGTTTTGCCCAAAATTTCTGTGGTTTGTTACAGCTAGTAGCAAGCTGACCATATATCCACCATAGAAGCAATTTTTTTTTGAAAGAAGAAAAAAGCATGGCATAAACTGCATCAATGTGCATTTGCACAGCATCTATTAAGTGTATAAACATACAAAAACCTCACTAGCCTTGTGCTTTCTGTTCAACTAAACATTTACCACTTGTATTTTTAATTGCCAAACAGCAGTTATTATTGTTATCAAAGGCTGGCCTTTCCTAAGGAAAATGTTCTATTTCCTTATTTGTAAGGAGAATTTAAAATACATACACTGAATAAAAACGTACCTTTGTATTTTTCCAACTTGAAACTTTGCTACATGGCTAATTTATGTGCAGATGATTCATGAAAATTAGATGATTTCATAATTTGTGTATCTTATGGGGTCTTGTGGGGTTTGGGTGATGGGAGGATGATAGTGAGTTGTGCTACTTGAAAAGTTTTTACTTCACAGCTCTTTGCTGGTGTGCTGTGCAGTGAGACTTTTTCAGTCCTGTGTTTTTGTTTGTGCAACTGTATCTGATACCAACTGAAAATTGAAAGGCTACGTTTAAGGTTCCAATTAACTGTGGAGAAGGACTGCTTTTTGAGACGGGTAAGATGTTTAGCTGGAATTACAGGAGATAAGTCAGAATTACAGACAGTCTTGCACCATGAATCCCGTGTGTGCTATGATGGGATCACACAGTGTGTATCTACTGTGCTGCCTCTTTCTGTGAGTACTCATAGTGCATGTTCACAACACGCAAAAATGTCAGATGCCATTCTCACTGTGAAGCTAAGCTCATATTATAGATTTCTTTAACTACCTTATAGAGCAAATAAAATAATAGAGAATTTCTGGAAATACTTGAAGGTAACAGATGTACTTTCACCTTCAGCACATTAAATTTCAGTTTGCTCTGAATCATTACTACTATGTGGATATATCAATTTCCCAGGTATTTTTGGAGGTTGTTCAGCTATTTTCTCCACTTTTTTTTTTTTTTTTTTCAAAAGCTAGATTCCATTCTGCTCCTCTCAACTCTGCCCTTAATTTCATCACTGTAAATTGGTGAAAATTCTCTCTGCCTTTAGTACTCACCTAGTCATCCTGCCTAAAACATTTATTCATCCCAGCCGCACTATGGCTTCTGACTAGATGAATGGCAATGATCACAACTTGGCCATCACAAGAGTGCCACTTAAAAACCTGTGATGGGAAGCTGGCGTAGGACTCCTGTTTTCAGGCTCCTGTGCAAACAACTACTGTTTGAGAGTTGTCTTCAGTGTGAAGACCACCAACCACACTGCAGAGGCTGTTGACAGCTAAATATGCCTTATTATATAGCTAATATAGTTTTATAGTATAGTTTTATTTCCAGTGCTGCTCTTAGGCCATAGATGGTGCACTGGTGACAGCACTGTTTCTGTTGCTCCTTTCTTACACCAAAATGTGTTCACACACCAAATTGCAGTCTGGAGGTGTTCTGGTCAAGTGAATGATGGGCCAGTAGAAGTGCTTAGAGATAATGAATGGGCAGATATAGCTAGAAATCTTTTTTCATCAAATGCTTCTACCTTTTTGATGTCTACTGCAGTCACACCAGCCACAGCAGTCTTTGTCCTTTTGAAAACACCCCTGCGGGGACTAGAATCTTCTGCACAAAGCATTCCTTTCAGAGAAAGGAGGAAGAGTGAAAGCCAGAGAACCTCCTTCAGCCTCAGACAAAGCCAAGAAATGTCAGTCTATAGATAGCTGCGTTATTCACAGTAGTCACAGCACTTTCTTCAATAACATAGAAATCAAAACTCTGAAATATGACAACCTCTGTTGCCTATTAATTCATCTCTCTCTTTTCTCGAAGGAAACTTCCCAAATTATTTCAAGAATAACAGCTTTTGAGGAACTCCTTTTGTGCAAAATTCTAGCTATTTTGGCAAAGACCTTCCATTCTTCTCAGAGGCAAGAACAACCCCTTAACTGGTCATGTTCCCATTGCAACAGCTCCAATACTGTTCTCAGCTTCCACAAGTCACCACATGACAGGAGCTGTGTATTTCTCAATAGGCACAAGAACTTGCATAATGATGTGCTGCCTTTATAGTTGGAGGTTTAAACTCAGCACTAATCTCCAGGGAAACTTCAACATGAAATTCAGCTGCCACTGCACATCCCAATAACAATGCACATCATCTCACCACAGCTACTTTCATTATATGAAGTCAGAATTTCTCAAATTTGTTTTCTTCTTCAATGCCCATTTTTGTCTTCATTATCTTGGTGCAAATGCAAAGAGGAATGTGCTTACCTGGAAAAAGACCCAGAAATCCAAAAAAGCAAAGCTCTTCTGCAAAGTTAGCTGACTTGCAAAGCTGCAGCAGGTTGACAATGTATCAGAAACATCTGTTCAATGTGAATAAAATAAGCTATGTCATACTTCTCTGTGACAATGGTGGGCACTAAAGAAGATCCATGGGCCAGCTATCTCAAGGTAAATTATGTGCCATGCTCTTTACTGAAGTGAAGATGAGTGGTTTGTTCAGATACCATTTCTTATAACAGGAAAGAAAAGGCACTACATTTAGTCAAACATAGGGTTTTTGTTGTTGTTGTTGTTTTTTGTTTTTGTGTGTGTGTTAATCTGTAGACCAAACTCAAGAGCTTTACTCCTCAATTACACAAATCTGAATTAGTTTAATTAAAAACTATGGTTGTGAATGTGTTTATTTAAACCTGGAGAAATCCCTCTGTCTTAAATTTGGTTATCTACTCTCAAATGCAAACTATGACATTTCACTGCAAGCTTTTGCTGTTTAATGTTGATTCAGTTTTTAAAAAAGCACACAAACATTTCAGAGAGCACTGTACTAATTTTAGATACCAGTGCCTGGTTTATGTGTAAAATATGCCAGAGACACATTTGTCTGTAGGAAAACAGAATACTAAAAATATATGTCAAATTTCTCTTCAGCAAAATAATCAAGCTGTACTTATATTTTACAGTAAAGGTTCTTACAGAAAACAAGTGTAGTAAGTTTTCGAAGTGATTGTTTCAGACAGTTAGAAGGATGTGAAAAAACTGTTGTGGAACAGATGTATCTGTGTTACTTTAAGAAACACTGCTTACTTTAATACATATTTTTAATTCTAGTTTCAGTAATGTTTTAGAAACTGTCCATATTTTTTACATCACTTAATTTGAATATGAGTGATAAAGAATACAAAAAAGCCTGAATAGTTTTCATTCTTGCAGCTCCATACAAATTCCTTTCTCCCTGGCATTCCTCACCAGAGACCTCAGGTGCCTTTGGAGTTTATAATGATCCTTCAACATTTGTAAGTATCCACTTAATCTTTGTTTTGTTCTCCTTAGTAAGAAATCAGATTCAAAGGGTGCTTCTGCTGAAACACCCATAGTGAAGTCAGTTGAGTCGTTGGTAGGTTAGAGAAGAAGCAGAGTCAGCTTTAAGGGAAAACCGACAGGGTTCTGTCGGCTTTCTGACTACCTTGGAGATGACTGGGGAGTAGCAACACAGTCCTTCTGAAGCAACTTTTTGTTTTTAGAGGTCTTGTGATCTCGGAAAAGATGAAAAGCAACAGATAAAACTGCATTCCAGTTTCCCTGATTGCCTACAAGGCAAAGGTGGCTTCAATTTACATCTCTGTATCTCACTTGGTCACAAGAATTGGGGAGTGATGAAAGGAACTGCCTTGCAAGAAAGGAGGGGGGAGATCTATTATCACTTCTTCTTCAAGGTTGGGTTTTCTCAAATGCCTCAAATATTAATTTCCTGTGAGTTTTTCTCTTGAAGTTACATTTGTATGTGTGTAAAAAAAAATGTGGTTTTTTTTTCCTTTAATCTGTACTTTTTTTTAAGAGCCTAAATACTGAATCATACATGAAATCAGCTCTTGAAGCTTTAACCACTCTGTAGACTCGTGCACCTGAAAATGCGAGTGTCAATTAGCTAGATTCCTTAGTCTTCACTCAGTGTGTCAGATTTCTAGCGGACAGTCATTTCTGAGCACTGTAAAGTTTGTTCTAAAAGTTAACTTGGGGAAATGGGGAAGTATCATATTAACTTGCTAATATTGAAGTTTGCAGATGTAGAATCATTTTCACATCAAATTGGTGTTTCTCTAAAACTTAGCAAATGTTGATGATTTTTCTCCCTCGTGTTAAAAATGTTTCTTTACAAGTTTCACATGCAAGCAGTTACTGTTTCCTTGCTATCTTAAAAGTTTTTATTCTATCAAGCTGGATACTGCAAATCCTGTCTGTGTTGTAAGGTTCCACTCACTAAGACTGAATTTTTACTACCCATCCTTACTCTAGAGATCACAGTGAAGGCATTCTAAGAAAATTCTTAGAGGGCTTGGCGGAGCACTTCATATCCATTTGAATTTAAAAAAATAAAAGGCCAAAGTTTCTGTTTTCTAAAGGAAGTAGTAATAAAGTTCAGAGAGGTATAAACCTTTAAGTCCCTGAGTGCACCTTTTGTGCTTCAGCAAGATGTTGCAAACAGTTGCAGAGCATGAAAGAAAATCTGTTTCTCTGTCTCCTGTTCTCAGAGCAGGGCTGTCTAAAGGGCAAGTTGACATGCTGGAAAATATTTCCCAGGATAAGGTTAGAGTCTGAGAGGAATTATTTTTAAACTTAAAAGCTACAAGTTGGACTTGATTATCATGTGAGGGAAGGTTAAATAAAAGCTACTTACAGAAAAGAGAGAGGCAACTGAAGCAATCAAATACTGATTTAAACTTTGTTTTCCTTACAGTCAGCTATGAGGAAAAAGAAACGAGTTCACGTGCTTTTTGGGTAAGAACAAAGGTGACTCACAGTCGCTTCTATTCCCCCTTGACAAATGGGAAGAATGAGGGGAAAAATAAAGCAGTTCTACTGTTGGCAGTGAAGTAAAATGAATGACCCATAGATTTTTCACTCAAGGCTCTTCACAGAGGCATGTTAAATAATAATGTGTTCCTTTTTTCTCATCTTAGGCTAATAATAATGCATGCAAATGTTAGCTCATTTTGGGTTTGCAAATAGATGCGGTACAAATGAATGCAATATGCATTGCCATGCTTGTCTCTGAGGTCCTGCTGAAGCAAGCTCAGCCCGTTGCACACCAGGATGCTGGTAACTTCTGCCAAATTGATGTAATCATTTCAAATATTTTAATCACCATTTCTGTAATCGTTCTTTAATCACTGTGTCCTCAACAAGCTACACCAGAACTTTTGCCTGACCTTTATGCTCGCCAAAGATTTGTTTGATGGGAATCTCCTCAGTATCAATGGTGTAGAATCTCCTCCGTCCTCTCTATTTTTGATGCACCCTCAGCCAGTGGTGCACGCTAAACATACATCCTGAAACTTCAGGACAGCACAGCTGGAGGAAAGGGAAGTCTGTGCTGGTTCCTATAGAGGCGCTGGAAGTGAGTAAGCATGAAGGGCCATTCATCTGGATGTGAGATGAAGCTGAAAGAGTTTTAAAATAGTTTAGTTAGTGATCAGCATTAAACAAGTAATGTCCTGATGACTCCGTGACAAGACAATAGCACAGCCTTCACAGAGCAGAGAACTGAATTGCTGCTCCTCCTACTTGTCTCAATAGCAGCTATTAGCTCATGCAATTTCTTCTTGCTCCTTACAGAAACATTCACAGGGAGTTTTCTAGACATTACTGCTAGGCCTGCAGACGAGAACAGTGAGTGGCTGACACAATATTCATACAGTCAAATCTCGTGCCCACCACCAGTCTTTCTTTTCTCTTAAAAAAAGCAATCTCCTGATGCTTAGTTGTTCAGTGCTAGGAGAGTGGGCTTGCACAGGGTTATTGCTGTGGTGCCTATGGTTCCACATAGCTGTGCTGGACTGTTGCCCAGCTGTCTAAAATTTGAGCTTGCTCAAATATGCATTTCACCATTCACCATGTGCCAGCATCTTTTACTAGTAAATCTCTCCCTCCTCAGGCAGCATTTCTGGAAGCAAGGACCTCAAGTATCAGCCAAGTAGACTGTTTTACACACTGACTTGCAATAAACTCATTACCTGCAATAGCCTTGATTTGATGCAAAAATCCAACCTTTGCCCATCACTGGTAAGAGGATTTTCCCAATACCATGTACCTGAGGTGGCTCCTGCCCCCATTCCCCTGACAGAGCCCCATATACTTCCCATTAGCATGCTGGGCAGACAGCTGAGCACACAGTGCAATCCAAACACAGTGCTGGCACTCCCTGCTTAGCTTCTGTTAAGGAGTTTGGATTTGATTCAACAAACAACTGTTCAAAACACAAGATCTGTGTGAGTGACGCCAGCTTGGGCTACTTCAATTGACAAAGCCATGCTGTGGGGTCACAGAAGTGGAGGGGGGAAGAGTGTCCTCTCAGAATCACTGAAATTAGTTTGCCTGGCTACTCCAGCCACCACTTCTCTGCTCAGGGGTTTCCTGTGCTGCAGGCGCTGGCACTTAGCCCTGGTACTCAGATCCATAAATGGGTACGTGCACAGCACAGACTGACCACAAAAGGTTACTCCCCAAACTCTTAGATGAGAGAGTCAGGAAGGAAAGAGCTAACAAACTATCAAAGAATTTAGAAATCCGGAATTTGTCTATAAAATCTAATTTTGTGACCATTTTTATTGTATGTCACATCTGAAAATTAATGATTTGCCATTTTTGCTGTTTATGATTTCCAGATGTAATTCTACACAAGACAATTTCAGCAAAGTCCTTTAAAAGTCATCATTTTGTCTAATTAATATAGCTTCCAGATGTACTGCTTATCTATGATAAATTCCTAAGTACTTGTGCTTGTATAACAAGAGCAGCATTCTCTAAATGGGGGCTCAAATTAAAAAAAAAACTAACCAATCAGTAAAAATTAGGTGAAAACTAGGTGTCCTTACAAAACCTGTAGCCACAGATAGACAAAATGAGAGGGGGGACATCTCTCCAAATGACCACTGAAGAATTCCGCATAAGCACAGAAGACTGTGTTTGTGTAATCTTGTAACTGTAGTAATCTCATGAATATGTAATAGATAGATGTATCTTATGTATTAGCTAGATGCGTATTGAGAACTTTTGGATTATAAATAGCAGATAGTGAGATGACTCAGGCACACTTGATTTGTGAAGATAAGCACTTGGTGCCCTGCACAGAAATAAAGCGTTGTCTCCTCTCCAAACACTTGACTTTTCTATGTGTTTCAGGAGATTTTGAAATTGACAACATACATACAATGGTAAAATATCAATGCAAATGCAAAAAACGTTTTTTAATCATTCTTTTTTTCCAAGCAAGAATAGTGTTTGTTGAATTATGTTTTGTTTGCTTTTTATTTTTGTTTTGTTTCGTTTTTTAGGCATGAATAATAAGTATTTCATGAAATAGTGTATATATACATAACATTACAAACTTTGCTTTGTATTTTGTTCCATGTGCTGAATTTGCACTGTCCTAAACCACTCACAGAATGTGTATGAAAATTATTAGAAAAAAAGGTAAGCCATTAGTGTAAAAACACATTTTAACAGCATTCTGTACTTAGTATACTAAAGATGATTTACATTAAAATATTCCTCCAAAATAGTATTAAAATTTCCACACCTTGAAACAGTTGAACTAAAACCTACCATGTCCTCTACCCAAATACCAGCATTAGACTTGGTTGATTTCTAAGAATTAATAGGGGTGGCAAAATCTACCTGAGATGAGCCCACTCATCCTTCAGCACTTGTCAACATTGTAAACGGGCACAGGATGCCCACTGCCTGGTATTCATGCCTTCAGTTGCCTGCATTGTATGAAGGGGACTGAAAATTGTAATCAACTTATATAAAGCTACTACATCAAGCCTACCACACAGGCTGTCTTTAAAGAGTAGTTGAAGTAGTCCAGGCTCAGGTGGTTAGCCAGCATTCTGTGTTTGCTGTTTTTTGCTCTTTTGGTTGGTGTCCTTTGTGAAGGACACTACCTCTGCTGAGGGACACACACCTGAAGACCATAGGCTGCAGCAGGCCCTAGGCTTCCACATGGGAGGCTGCACACCTGCTGGACTGTCCCTGCTGAGCACACCAGACCAGATCTGCAGCAGCCTGCTTCCACAGCACATCCCTTCTGCTGCCAGTGGCCTTGCTGTGGCCTTGCGTGATGTGGCACATGTATCATCAAAATGTTGCCTAAATTTTAGAGATGAATGCCAATTCTCAAACTGATTTTCTAATTTTTTTTAAAGATAAAATGTTAGTACCCTCTTTGAAGAAGGTTTGGAACTATTTCATGCAAAACACTGGAAACATTACAAGAGTTTCTCAGCTCAGTTCATAATTCACAAGCCCAGATCTAGTTCTGCAACCTGAATTCAGTACAGACCCTGGAGAAGGAGGAAGCAGCAGAACTGAAATGTGCAGGTCTACTGAGGTCTTGGCTGAGCTTCTGGTCTTCTAAAGCAGAGGATATGGAAGACATTGGGTCCATGCCCTCACACAGTATGGCAAAGATACATCTGTACAGACCCATGTGCAGAGTGCAGTGGTTTTTTTTTGTCATGATAAGACTGCAGATAGACAGACTTGCAGACTTGGTTGGCTCTTAATAGGTGAGACATATTTTTCCAGTAATGTTTTGCCCTCAAGTCCTTGGACAACCTTCTCATCCTCAGTTTTGTACTTGCAATTGTGTTCATGCATATCTTCCTCGCCTGTGCTTTGCTCCTTTCTGTGCTTTAATTGCTCATCCCTCTCTCTGGTTCCAGGAACAGCTAGCATTACCTCACCTTACCTAAAGAGTTTTGAAGTTACTAGCACAAGTGTTTTTCTCACTGAGTTGAAAGAAAGTGTACCACAAACCAAGGACTTTTTATACACAGAGAATGCAAGCAGAAATTCACCAATTCACCACAGTTAGCTTTTTCCATTTTCTTGTTTTGGAAGGACAAGAAAATACTCGGTCTCATGTGAATCACAGCAAAACACTCTGCTTTTTACATCCATATGTAGGCTTGATAAAGGCTGGTTTGTTTAGCAGTAGGGATCAGGAAATCATTTTAAGGGTCAATATATGAGTGTAACAAAAGGAATCAATGAGTGCTGGTTCTAAAAGTTTCCATTTCAACTTTGCTTGGTGTGTGAACAGCCTTTTGTTTTCTCAACGATTCTGCTTCACAGGGAGCACTGGAGTCAGATTACTTTTATCTTTGCATCACAGGTGCAAGGACTTTTTCCCTGGCCTTCACATATATTGTTTTGGAAATTGCTCATTATGGCCTAACAAGCAATGGAAGTTTGCCTAATTGGGGAAAAACAGCTAGAATTTAGCCAAAAGTCTCAGTGATTAAGATGGTGATGGAAAAATGGGCAGAAAGTAAGTGGACATAGGACCACCTTAGATGCAGCTGTGCATGCCCAGAGGGACACTAGCATATAATAATGAATTCTTGGAAAAGAATGAATATGTATGCCAGTGTTACTGCATATGTATGTCTTAACCATTTAAATGTAGAACTTGAACTCTGAGAGCACATGCTTGTTTTGTCTAATTGCCCAGTAGATATCATGAGGAATAAGGGAATGCCACTTCTTAACATCACACTGGAGTTAGAGAGTTTTCTTTCTGGATTTTGGATGACTGACTGAGCTCAAAGAGCAGCAGCATGAGTTTGATAGGTAGCCAGCACAAAATAAATTGTGAGATTCATGCTTGCCTTGCTTATGCTTCCTTCAATCAGATCACCAACACTTTCTGTTGTTCTTAATCTTGTTCTGCTAAGAATATGAGACCTAGGAGCTCAGATCATCTGTGTGCCTAT